TATATATATATTCCAGATTTTCTGGTTTATATTTTATTAATATTGTTTTTCAGTATTTACTTTATTCATTACAACTGCTTGTATTGTTTTTATATTCACTCTGAGTGTACTTTTTGTTATTATGATGCTGTAACAAAGGGAATTTCTCTACTATGGGATTGTTAAAGGATATTCTATTCTATTCTATTCTATTCTATTCTATTCTATTCTATTCTATTCTATTCTATTCTATTCTATTCTATTGCCCAGTTCTTTAGTCATAACAAATTCTGACAGACTGAAACAAACCATTTTTTGCTCAAAGAAAAAAAGAGAAGAAAAGAAAATCAACCAAAAATACATTCAGCTACACTTTCAGACTACTGGTTGACACACAGGTGGAAGCGATGTTTTACTCTTTCCTGCTGCAGCACCGTCAGGCACGAAAACCTCTTTAACATCACTCTGTGTCCTTGAGAAATCCATCAACACTTTCTTCTTTCGTTTCTTTACTCGCAAAAGCAAGCCACGAAGGAAAACTTAAAACAATGTAGAACCCTTGTAGGTTCACCCACTCACTGAGGAAGTATACAGTATAAGATAAACTTTTGAAAAATAACTTTAAGGCATTACTAATTTATTTTAAAGTCACAATCATCCAATTAGAAAATCAGTAAATTATTAAAACAATTTTAGACATAAAGTAGAGAATGATCTTTAAAATCATCTTAGATTGTTTCTATTTTTATTGTTTTAATTATTAGAAAATAACATCCTAAGGCATTAATTCCACTCTATAGTTGAAGGAAGTATACAATATATAGAAATGAGCAACCAATTATAAGTATTTGCTTGAAGCTGCAGGAAAAAGTACCAAATTTGATCACTTACTGTTCTTGCAGGATGTAGTCCATGTTCTCTGGGGAAATCTGTCCAGTTACAGGATGGATAAACGACGTGCTCCTCTGATTATGACTAAAATGCCAGAAGGGAGAGAGAAATGAGACAAAATTAGCAAGCTGCGCTCCACTGTAAACACTCTGAAGGCATCACAACATAATGTCAGCCCTTCTCTGTCCACAATAACACACTGAGCTGATCATCCCCCAGGAACGTGTCGGGCTCAGAACCCCTGAGCAACATCTCTGACTTTCCCAGTCTGGTGCAGAATGTGAGGGCTTGACTATAGGACACCCCCCCACCTCTCCCCACTCACTCATCCCACCCAACCCATCCTGCACAACCTCTGTGGACCAAAACGTTGGGCTCAGCACAAACGCTGGACAGTGCAGGTCTGGGCCTCCATCGGTTACAGACTCATTCAGTAGGTCATTCAATGCCTCAACCAGAGTGTAAAAGCATTCGACGGGGTAAACAACAGTGGGTGGCATGCGGGGTCATTGTGAGGGTGGGACTGTTTGAGTACACGAGTGTCAAATCTGGAAAACATATCCTGTGTTGTGGAACTGGTCGAGCATATGCTATCACTCTGACCTTTTATTTAACGTATTTTAGCTTCAAACTATTATTTGTGACACTAACAGAGCCTCAAACCTGCTGGGAAACACTCAAACACTCCTAAGGATATGAATGTGTGTGCACAGCCTTTAAAAACAATCGATACATAGCAACACAGTGTTTTCAGTTGAGCAGCACGTTATTCATGTTGTAAAGACTTGGGCCTAATGTAGCAGACGAGCAAATCCTCCAGAGGACCGTGGTTTCCCAGAAGAGCCCAGAGTGGCTTATAGTCTGTGACCTAATCACAGGAGCACAACTCCTCAGCTCAGATGTCTGTTTATAGTATTTCTTTATGTCAGGTAACTGTAGACCACTACTGTTGTAGGTACTGTTACTTTTATCAATAAGAAAAATACTCAGTGGTTGTTCTCCGCATAGACATCAAAGCTTCTGTAAGTTCTTTAGCTGAAAAGGTAAGGAACATCTCCTCAATAACACAGCATAGACTTTAAAATAGTTATAAACACCTGATAACACAGGAATATCAGTGAGTTCTTTGTCCCCAAACTTTAGACTTATGTGTAGTGTCTAGTCTAAATGTAAATTGGGAGGCAGAATCTTCAGGACTACAGACAAACTAATTCTGGGCTAATATTCAGTATTAGCCCATTAGTGACATGCAGATCGATAGTGAAACATTGACTCCGTTGATACCAAAACTTTATGTTCTAGTATCAATTCTAAAATAAAAATGTTGTTTCTGATACTTCAGTCATTGTAGGAAATGCATATCATTAACAGGAACACAGTGGAAAGTAAGTAAACTACTAAATCATTGGTTGATGGGAACTACTTTTTCTTCCGCCTGGGTAATGCGTAATGTTACATGTTCAGTATTTTAATGTTAAAATCATGTAATGTAAATTGAGACACAAGTTTAAATGTTTTATAATAGTTCTTGATAAGTAAGCAATAATTTAGTATCGATACAAATCTGGTCTAAATCACAGTTGGTGGGAACTACTTTTTCTTCCACCTGGGTAATGCGGAGGTGCAGTCAGTCTGTATGTTACATGTNGTATTTTAATGTTAAAATGTTCAGGAATGCTCGAGTTTTCATTTTTATAGTAGTTCTTTACAATTACACAAAAAATTATTGGTTTTATTATTTTTGCTAAATCTTTTATTGCTTAAAACCCAATTTTCACATATTTTGTATGATTTGTGTCCTCTGCTTTTTCTGTTGTACCAGTTTGACTACACAGTAGATGAGGATGCTACCTCAGTGTAGTTGTGAGTTTAAAAAAAATAAATAAATGACTCTGATATCTGGTATTCTTTATAAAGCGGTGATTTTAAATGCCCTACTTCTTTAGATTTGATACATTAGATTTTTCTTATCATGTCAGTATCCTTAATAAGAATACGACTTCTTATAATCCCTGTGGAGAACTAGTTATTTCTCTCCATTAGTATCTATTTTTGAGGAAAAGTTTAAACCACTTGACAAAGGTTTGAACTCGACAAGGAATCTTGCAGTTTGACTTTGGTTTTAACAAAACTTTAAACTGGTTAAAAATGTTTTAAATGCCACTAGGAAGCACCATGCTCATATTTCCACATGCATATCTGAAGACTCGCTTTGTTGGCAGCAAGACTTGCATCATCTTCTGTTCTTTAACTTAGATATCTGTAGGCTCCTAAGTTATTTTTTGTTTAGTTTTCAGATATGCATGRMSAWATWTSKYCATGCATATCTGAAAACTAAACAAAAAATAACTTAGGAGCCTACAGATATCTAAGTTAAAGAACAGAAGATGATGCAAGTCTTGCTGCCAACAAAGCGAGTCTTCAAGGACAAAAACTCCCAGTTGTCTGAATCAGAGCACCTCTCAGGGAGATTTATTATTGTTTTACGTTAACATGCAGCCCTGTGATCAAAGATGGACTCTGAGAATTAATAATCACCTTAGCAGAAAAAAATACAATTAATCAGCTGTGGTTTGATTGAAGAAAGACATTATATTTTGAGTAGTGCGTTATGACTGTGACACTCTCCTGGCAGAGCTACAAGTCTGACAACTTTTACCTAATGACAGCGGCAGGGCATAAACATTTTATTGATCGAGGTGACTGATGCCATGTTTGCAAGGAAAGACATGAAAGAATTATGCAACCTTGTCAAGGTAAGTCACGGACATGAAAATACACAATTTTTTGTTTAAAAAAATTTTAAGTAAAAAGCACCAAACAAAACAGAAATATTAAATACCGTTTAGTCTGTTTACACATTTTGGACATGACACATTAAGAAAAGGTGTGAATTTAAATTTTAATGTGATACTAAAGTGTTGACAGATGTGAGACGTCTTTTCATTCACATTAAAGTGTCAGAACTAATAGATAGATTCCAAATTCATCTTACAAAATTAAAAGCTATGTGTTAAACCAATTAACTGTCTTTGCCAGTTCATAAAAGTGTAGAGAGGGATCCATCATCGCTGAGGCCAAAGTCACCTCAGATGCTCTCTATTACCTCGGCCGTTAATCTGAATATCGATCTGGCACAGTCACACAAAGCCTTGCTTGTTTGGGAGCTGATACACACTACTCTCCTCCTGGGCAGCTAATAAAACCATGTCAGGTTGCTCACAGGCTATGAATGGGAACAGCATGTGAGGATCCTAAGAGGTGCTGTTTATCAGAGGCAGTGACTTCATTCTGCACTGAGGTTCCAAATAGTACAAGTCATTAAAGACCTGAAAGTGTCATTTCAGAGGAACACAGTTAATGATGATCTTGGGTGGAAAAGGATAACATAAAACCCAGTGTTAAAAACCATACTTTAAATGGAAATTTAAAAAAAAAAGTATTTTACAAACAGTAATTTTTCCCCTTTTTGGCCAATTTAAAGCTTTAAAAAACCCAGCCATTGTAGCACGTCCTCTATCTAGTTTGAAAAAAGGCACTTTCATTTCAAACGACCAGTTATAAAATTTAATTAGTAAATTACACATTTTGTGACACTTGCCTAAAATCTAGGTGCTAAGGCATTGATGCAATATAACAATAAAAACTGTGAATATGACATAAAACATTTTTGAACCAAACTGTTATAAGGATTTTCTAATGGTGCGTTCACACCAAACGCGATTTCAGTGTCAAAATCGCGTCCAACGCTTCAAGTTGAAAGCTTGTATTCAGACGCGAGTCAAATTTGCTCTTGAAGTGCTCGACGCGCGTCGACAGCCTCCTCGAACCCTCCCTCCTCTGCCGGTCTGTCCTCCTTAGATCCAATCCTATTTTTGCCTAACGCCAGAGCTGCTCCAGAGTCAATCTTCAGAGATCACATCGCACCAATAGGAAAAGGAACAAGCACAACATCTGTATTTTCAGAATAAGACACCAAAAGGCAAATTACTTTTGTTGAAATCCCAGCTATATTAATGAACAGAGTTGCACATAACCGGTGCGCAGGTGCGCTTTCGCAGTCAAAAAAGGAAAAAGCGCACCAGATGTAATGTCATAAAGCTCACTTGCGCACCTAAGATTGTACCTGATTATCTGTCAAAACAACAGCCAGCAGGGCTCTAGATTGTGACCAGTTTGGTCGCAAATGCGACCTGATTTCTTAAAATAAATAAAATAAAATAAAAAATAAAAAATTCCAGCCGCACAGTGGGACTGGATCAAGTTCGGTGCTCACTAAGACTGACAGAGGGACCCTGATAAAAGGATTAAACGGACACTGCCTTCAACAAATCAGACGAAGTCCAGAGCCTTTTTATCCAATCAGAGCAGAGCAGGGCGGGACTTTCAGTGAGAGCAAGTTTGGTTTAAGCAGCGGGCCAGCTCGACTCAAGTAGAGAGGCTGCAGCGATCAGTTCTGGCTTCTCCTCCTCCTCTCCTCCTGCACTTTGCTCCTGAACTACCAGAGACTTTGGTCTGTAAAACCTAACTTTAGGTATATTAAATATGTCTTCAGAATGTTGTTATTGAACAGATCTGTCCAACTCTGTGTGAGTGACAACTCTCCTCCTGAGAGACTGCTGTATGAGCGCGTTGCTGCTCACGCAGGCTGTCAGTGAGATTCACTGAGTTTTTCTAATTAAACCACATTAACTAACAGAACATTTGTTTGCCCCATATTAAAGCAAAGATGATTCTCTGTTTAACACCCCATGAAAAAAATTTTATTTTAATAAATAAAAACAACTTGCCATGTTCTCTAGGTAAAAGAGTTTTAAATGTTATTTTAATTTATCATTAAGATACACAAATCTCATTCACAATTTTATCAAAAAACAAGGTTCTTGATGTGCTAAACTTGTTTAAATTTAGGACCATACTGTGATACAGCTTTTCTGGGATAAATGTAATTTATTAAATGATCAAATATGAAGAATAAATGATTACATGAGCTGAAACCGTATTATCTTTTTGAATAAAATAGTCTTTCAAAAAAGAAATCAGTCTAACAAATAAAACATTTGTATGTTTTAAGCTATTTTGCT